AATTACTAATTAAACGGGTGGGATCATGGTCATCTATTTCAGTATGGAATGATCCTTGGCTTCCAACCACTCGCCCGAGACCAGCAAATTGTAACCAACAAAATCTCTACCCACATCTCACTGTGGACTCTCATATTAACCATACTACACGGAAATGGAATTCCCAGTTAATACGGGCTTTGGTGGATCCAGCGGATGCGAAGATAATAGGAAGAATACCTTTAAGCAGGAATCGGCTAGTTGATCAGGATGGATGGCATTTCACAATTAATGGGAAATTTACAGTCAAATCAGATTATCAGGTGGAAAGGGTATATCCAGATAGAGATAAACTATCATCCGAGTATGGTCCTACGGTCACCATATTAAAGGCTCATTCTTGGAAGATTCGATGTCCTCCAAAGATAAAACATTTTCTTTGGCAGATTTTGACGGGTTGTATTGCGGTGAAGAAAAACCTGCGGGGCAGGGGATTACGAGGAGACATACAATGTGCGAGATGCGGTTCTAGCGAAGAATCAATTAACCATGTATTCTTTGAATGTCCTCCAGCGGTACAAGTCTGAGAACTCTCTAAGATTCCTTCGCATCCGGATATCTTTCCTACTCGGGCTTTGTTTACAAATATTGATCATCTTTATTGAAGAGTAAGGCCGAAAATGGATAATCACCAATTTGCTTGGATTTTATGGTATATATGGAAGGCTATGAATAACAAAGTGTTTAGTAACATTGAGGTTGATCCTAATGACACATTGAGATTGGCGGAAACAGAAGTAATATTGTGGGAGGAGGCTCAAACATCTATAACACAAAATCTTCAGATGGTGCAGGACTCGTACGCATTCAGGTGAGTATTTAAAAACTAGAGAAAATATACACAATTATTTTTGAATGTAGATTCAAAAACTAGAGAAAATCGGACTAAAAATGATATAAGAAGAGTCTATTATTTTTTTATAGACTATAAATAGTAAATTTATCTTTTCTATTGTGTATAGACAAGCCAAACGATTAGAAAAATAATGGTTTTGGAGAACAAATAAAGAATCTTGGTAAAGGTTGGTTTATGTCACATCAGAATGCGATTGAACCGAGCCTACACTCCGGGGTTTTGAAGCATCCGTGTAGGGTTTACAGAGAAAGCCAAGCTAAGATTTTTACGTCCCTTTCTACGGCGGTTTTGATGTTTGAGATGGCATTTCAAGAATGTTTCTGAAATTTGTGATATCAAAACAAATCAAAGGGTAAATTTTTTTAAAAAAGTTTATATTTTGGAAAGTCTTCCAGACTTATAATTAAAATGTTATACTGGATGGATGTGTGTTTGAGAATGTTGTCTTTGATTGTTTTGTAGAAAAAAATGGATATTTCAGAACTTCCTCGTAGGATATAAACAGTAGGGCAAGAGCCCCCCAAACAAAGGGTAATTTTTTTTAAAAAACTTTATATTATGGAAAGTCTTCCAGACTTATAATTAAAATGTTATACTGGATGGATGTGTGTTTGAGAATGTTGTCTTTGATTGTTTTGTAGGATATCACAAATTTCAGAAACATTTCATAGCATTTTTTAAGACGAGAACAGATTATGGTTTTCTCTATATACTCAGTCTAGATTATGGTTTTTAATTGTTATTTGAAATCATATTATAAAGTTTGAAATATAATTTAATGAAAATATTACTGTTTAGGGTTTAAATACATAGAGGACTTATGCAACATATACTTTGGATAAACAATGTCGGTTTGTTATAATATAGTTGGTTTTGCAAATTCTATATTAATTTCAAATCATACATTAACATCCATTAAAAAAAATCTTCATATTTTTTCTTCGAATTGAATGTTATATTTACATCAAAAAAAAAAACCTTGTTACAAAAAAGATTATCCCTTCGAAATCTCATAAAAATTTCAAAACTTCAAAATAAAACTTCATGTCATGTACCAACTCTTCTTAATCTCCCGTCTTCAACTTTCAATCATGTCTTGTGCCAAACTAAAACTGCAGTCCTCCTTCAAGCTTCTTATCCTTCTTTTGGATTTATTGAAAACTTGTTCCTCACTGTTTTATCTATTAACTTTGCTAGGAGAGCAGGTGGTGAAGCCTTTTCTCCATGCTTCATTCTATTTTTCTCCCTCCAAACACCGTGCACAGTTGCTTGTAACACATATCTGGTTGTAAAGAGAAGGAACTTGTCTTGATTTACTATCATAGACCTTTTTTAACACCAATTTGATTAAGAACATTCGAAACTAGTACAACATAGTGACATTACGCAGATCCTTTTTGGCCAATGAATCCACAGTCATGTTCTGAGAACGAGGAACAAAAGAAAAAAGAATAGAGATAAACTGATGTCATCAGGATGCATGTTCACTAACCCTTCTCGGGTTTGAGGGTTTAGCTCTCTTTTCATCAGTTTCAAGGAAAGAGAAGTGTTGTATCGATCTAATAGGTGTAACTCATCTCCATGCCAAGAAAAGGTTAGTAACTTAATATCCTAAACTAATTTTTACTAAATCTAAATTGTAGAGATTTAAACAATCATATTGTTTCATAAATGGTAATTTGAGAAAAAAAAACAGGAAATCTAGTGATCAAAGTTCCTACCGTAAGCAGCAAGATGGCAGATATTCCAGCAAATGAGTATTCATGGAGAAAATATGGTCAAAAACCAATTAAAGGTTAATAGAATGCTTAATAGATTTGATTTCCTAATTCTATTATAAGTTTACTGGCTTTATTATATTTTGATGACTTTATTGCTTAGGAGGAATATGAGAGATGACAGATTGGTGACAAATATACACTTTGATTGATATGCATATATATATATATATATATGATTGTGGTTCACACCATGCTTTGGGTTTGTTATGGATAGAGGTTGTCTTTTTCTAAATGTTACATCTGGGACACATTTATATATGATTCTAAATAGTAAGTATTTGTCTCAAGATTTGACAAGCCAACAAATTATTATACTAACGTTCCTTGCCTTTGTCCATTTATATTCATCAGGGAGTGCATCAATAAGGAGGGCTCAAGCTGTTCTGCAACCAAATATGGGAGTATCTATAAGTTTGAAAGTCTAACCATCACTGAGCTTAACGCACTACAAAAAAAGTCATCATTGATGGCACATTGTTATAGCACGTTTTACTGAACTGTTATCGTAGTTGATTTAGAAATTTTCGTATTATATAATAGCATTAGATAAACGCTATGATATAGAAAATTATAAAATAGCACTTAATTAATATTATTTTGAAAATTACGTAAGCGGGAAAATAAAATCACCAGTTTCGCCAATACTTAGCGGGAATTTATGATTTAAGCGCCAAATATATTATTTAAGCGGCTTACTAAAAGACTTATAATAGCATTTTTTATAATGCTAAGAAAAGCTATTTGAACCCCTAAACCTTAAACATGGTTTTAAACCTAAACTCTAAACACAACTCTTAAAACTCTAGCCTTTTCACATAATGACTTCAAATCTTAAACTAAAACTTAAAATTTAATCTTTTTAATCTTAAACTATAATTTCCTAAATGCATATCCTTAATCTTTAATCAATCTCTATATCCTAAATCATAACTTCAAACATAAACTATACATTCTGTTTAAACATACAAATTTTTGAAATGATGACAATAATGATAATCTTGATATTAATCTAATATTTCCAAACTTAAATATCAATTTATTATGTTCAAAATTAAAATTTTAAACGGAAATTACAAAGTAAAAAATATAAACTTTGAAGTAATATATAATTAAGAAAAATATTTACAAAACAAATTATCAAAGATTGAAGGACAAAAAAAAATTATAAAGAATATCTTATAGCTATGATTTAGCTACGAATTTTTTTAAAAATCTTTATAAAATAGCCGCAAAATGCTACGGTTTGCCACATTTTTTGTACATGCTTGAAACCCTAAACCCTAAAGTGCTTTTAAACCCCAAACCCTAAATATAAACCTTGAAACTCTATAATTTTCATAAGTTAACTTAAATCATAAATTTAAATTCATAATTTAATTTCAAATCATTATTTAAACCCCAAATACTATACACCAAACCCTGAACTGTAAACCTAAACCCTATACCCTAAATCATAAATCTAAACATCAAATCTTATTTTAAAATCTAAAACACTAAACTTTATTTTTAGATCTTATCTTTACCCAATTCCCCTTTCTTAAAAAAAAATATATTTCATACTCAACTTTACTATACATACATGCAATACTCTAAATATAAACTTCAAACTAAATTATTAAATAATTAACTACAAATCTTAAATCTAATATTCAAATTTAATATTTTCATACTCTAATCTAAAATCTTAAATCATACCATAAATCTCATATTCCAACATTCAAATCTTAGATCATAAATCTAAAATTTACTCTTAATCATAATTTTCTTTTATAACTATAAAATCTAAATTTAAAACTTTTCAAATTTGTATCAATCGTACAAGTTTAATATTTAATCAATAAAATACAGTTCAATATAAATATACTTTAATCATAAAAAATAAATTACTAACCATTAATTGTTTTAATCCAAGGGTTATGAATCCATCAGTAATTTTAATCCAAGGGTTACAAATCCATCATTTGGTTATCCTCTACCTTCTTTCTTATTGGTCAGTTTCTATATTACAAGGATAACAATTCTTAACCTAAAACACAAATATTTCTCTCTCTCACGCCTCCTTCTCACCACCCCCGGCCACCCACCATCTCTCTCTCTCACCACCACCACCACCCGCCATCTCTCTCTCTCTCTCACCATCACGTTGACCTCCTCACCACCACCACCCGCCATCTCTCTCTTTCTCTCTCTCTCTCTCTCTCTCTCTCTCTCTCTCTCTCTCTCTCTCTCTCTTTCCACGGATCTTATAGTGCTCTCTCCCTCCCTCTCTCTTTCTCTCCTTTAAAACTGATCTTGATTTGTTTTTTGGTAAAGAAAGCTGGAGGATGCACAAGAGACGAGGTGACTGGAGGATGCTCATCACCACCTCCACAGGTCACCTCTCTGTCTGTTTGTCTCTCTTCTCCTCTCATCTTTCTATCTTCTCCTTTAATCGGTTTTGTTTTTTTTACAGATCTGAGATGGAGCAGTGATGAAATAGAAAGGATAAGTAGTGGTGGGACAAGGCGGAATGTCCGGTTAAGCGTGGTGCGGCTGTGGTGCAAAATCCGGTGGTTGTTGGTGGTTCGTGGACGGTGGCTTAAGCTTTGCGAAGGTGGCGATGGCGGCTGAAGCTTTGCGAAGGTGGGATGGTGGCTGAAGATTAGGTTTAGGTTTAGGTTTAGTTAATCAATTTGTTTAGTTAGGTTTACTTAATTAGTTGGTTTAGTTAAAATTAGAATAATATACTTATGTATTATTGGTTTAGTTTTGTAAACCAAAATTTATTGTAAATTAAATTTAATTTATAAATAAAAATTATTTTATTTTTAACTATAAAACAATTTTAGTTTTATTTTCAATTTTGTAATTATAATTTTTTTAGCTGTCGAACTACCTATAATAGCATGAAATTAGTGCTAATAACTAAACTAATAATATCATACGAGTAATGCTATCGTATCTGTATATTTTATTGCGCTAAAAAAATGTTATCGTAGAAAGGGTATCTATGATTGCTGCCGTAGACATAGTATTTATGAAAACGCTATCAAACATCTAATATAGCATATAACCCACGCTAACAATGTCCATATTTCTTGTAGTGACGCATACGTACTAAATTCATAACCACATGAAGTATTGGACCTCATCCCTAATTATCCCTTAAATTATCCTAAGGAGTGAATTACTCTCTCAAATATGAGGTTCAGTTGTAGTACTTAGAGATCGAATCACGAGGAGCTAGGAAACCAATTAAATCTAAGCAGTTATAAATAATCTAGATGAATAATAATAAAACAGTAAATATAGCAAGTAATAAAACAGTAAACAAGATGAACAAGACTATTATTCAGCTTGGCAAGAAGTTGTTTTACAGAAGGGTGGTTACTAGATCTAGGGTTTCTATTCAGGTATTGGAAATTATAATACTACAGGTGCTATCTAGTTGTTTTCATGGTATTAAAGAGCATTAACTATCTTAACAACAGATTTATTAAACTGTCATTTAATAAATAAGTCTATTGACTAGAAGGTCTTTGACCAAGACAAGAATGTCCGATCAATGACAGTGTCGATCGATTATTCTATAGGAATGTCGACCGATTCACTTTACTCATCATTGATCGATGAGTCCAGTCAAGCGTTACACACGAGTTAACAAAGACTCACTAAGATCCTAAATCAAACTCTCACTTTATTTCCAGTGAAGTCCTAGCTTAATCAGGACGTGTTCTAAACTATTAGAGTTATTCAAAGACATTTAAACAACCTAACAATCCTTGATTCAAGTTTCTAGTTAGCTACTCTAGAACATAGGCATTAAGAATCATCCTATTAATGAATACCACAACAAGCAATCCTATAGTTGGGGCTAATCCCTCTAACCTATTTGAACCCTAAACCTAACAGGTGGATCTACTCTAGCATGAAGTTTGTCACAGAAATCATAGAAAGAGTAAATGTAAAATAGATAATAATATATATAGATATGAAAAACCAAAGAAACAAAGGAGTTCCAGGAGGGCTCTTATGGAGTTCCTCCCTTATCTCCCTAGAACTAAGAACAATGAAACAGAAAAGAGCATAGCCGTCAACAATGGCTTACAAATAACATAAATAGGGTTTTTGGTCGTCCAAGGGCATTCTGGTAATTTGTTGTAACTCCTGGGCTCAAGTATGTCTTGAAATATACTTGGCCTGAGTTCTGGGATCTCCATCGATCGACATAAAGTGTGTTGCATCGATCGATTCTTATTCAACTTCTCGACAGCTTCCTCTCGCAAGATAGACTGACCACGCTTCAGTAAAATGGGCATAACTTATGCTACAGGATGCCGATTGACCTCACACCGGTGGCATTGGAAAAATAACTAAAAGCTCTATATTGTGAAAAAATAAGGGCGAAATATAACGGTAGGAAAGTCTTCATCCATAGATAAACATTTGTGTAGTCCTGCACTCAAAGGGGCTCCAAAAGACACCAAAATCACCATATTTCTCCAGAATGTACATGAACCTGTAAATACTCTAAAAAGACTCCTAAACATAATAAATATATCTTAAAACATGCATATACCATGTCTAATAATGGGTAACATCCATGGTATATCAACTCCGACAGACTTAACTTTTTGCTTGTCCTCAAGCAAAACGACATGCAGTTTCTCTAAAAGAGGTTTGAAAACAGCAGAGACTCACAAAATCTTTAACTTACTAGTATCACCTCTACTATGTTGCAACCACATCAAATAAGTGTTAGCCTCAGAGATACTTTATATATCATATCCTAGTTTAGCAACCAAATCGAGTCTACCAGCAACTTAGCAAATACTAGCTTGACTCACCCCTCTACTAAGCTCATTTCTTAATATAAAATAAAAGTGTAGGCTTTATCTTGGGAGTATCGATCAAAGGATACTTGGACTCGTACCTTAGCAGGTATCTGAGTAAACGGTTAGTCATATTCTGGTTTCTTTTCTCTCTATATCCCTCTTCTCATAATCTTTTTCTAGATCTCAAACTCAATGGACAAAGATGCTGCTACAGTCCACTTGCCATATTGTTTTTGATTTTGAATTTCCTTTTTTTTTTTTGACAAAGTGTAGGCGAATAATATGGTCATCACTGATGTACGTACCCCTCGCTTTGACAATATGTGATCATTCCTTTGGATTAGAATAGTGGGGTCATTGGTAATGTACCTAACCCTCTGCATCTCATGAAATCATTTCAATCTTTTATTTTAATAGACGGCAAAGAGAGGAGAGAAGGAAACCAAAAGTTTACAAACTTATACCTTTCAGACCTGAACACTACAAGAAAACACAAGTTTTACTAGGACGACTTTGCCTCGTAATTTCCTAGTAAAGGACCCTTTACTAGGAAATTACGAGGAAACGCGTTTTGTCGTAACACGTTCATCGTAAAGCCTTTTTTCTCGTAAGTTCCTAGTTAATTTAAGAGGACACATTTCGTCGTAAACGCATGGATACTTATTTCGTCGTAACGTCCTCGTACAGATTTCCTCGTAAAGTCGTAGTAACTAGTTTCTCGTAAGCGCGTCGTAACGCTTTACGAGGAACTTACTTCAAAATGTTTACAAGGACTTTACTTCGAAATGATTACGAGGAATTTACTTCGAAATGTTTTTTCCCTATAAAAAAATAATAGTTAAAATAAATATAAATAATGTATTTTTAAAAAATTAAAGAAACCTAATTATAAATAAAAATAAATAACTAAATATTTTATAAATAACTAAATATTTAAGTTTTAAATTCATAATATACAATTAAAAATAAAAATAAAAACTAGACTACGGATGCTGGTCGTCAAATTGACAAACGAAGTCGTCATCCCGGCTCGCCAACTCCTCCTTGTCTGTGTTGGTCATCGACGGTTGTGACTGTGACGGTTGATGATGTTGGGTTGGAAGCCCACCGTTTTCCCGTCTGACACACAACATCTCCGCCAATTGCGGGTTTCCGACCGCCAAAACATCCAGGATATCGGAGAGAGAACTCAGATGAGATTGTGTCGCCTGCAACTCCGAGCGCAGCTGAGCAGTGACATCGTTCTGTTCCTGAGCATAAGACGATGTCGCTGTGGGGACATCGTTAACGGAACCAATCCCGACGATACATCCCTTTTTACTAGGGGCGACCATTAAATAAAAAGATTAATAACGTTAAAATATAAATTAAATAAATAATAAAAAATAATAGACAAACAAATTATTTACCTACTCGTAAACCTTATCCACTTCAGGAGTGGATAATATGACGGGTGTCCCAGACTGCTCTGTCAGCTGGGTCTGGCGGTGGTCAACCCGAGCAACAACCTCGTTATAGATTCGCTCGGATCTAGGATCTACAAAATGCCCAGCCTTGTTCCGGTGGGTCCTCTCGTAAAGCTCTTTCAGAGATGGAAGAACTCCTATCTTTTTAGCCTAAAAAAATAATTTTAAAAATTAATTATTAATTAGAAATATATAAATAGAGTAAAAAAATATTAATTAGTTATTACAATATTAATTTACCATGTCTAGACGGATTTCCGAGTGAGGTCTTCGACCTGCGATGTGAAGCATCTTCGTGTTGCCATTCTCGTCTTTAGTCATGCGGTTCTCGGAGTTTGTGTTGGAGATTCTGATCGAGTCCGGAAACCCCCAATATCTGATGATGCCATCCCACACTTCATATGTGAGGCAATCGGGTTTCCCCTCCTCGTAACCATCCACCTAAACAAAAAAAAATTTAAAATTATTTAAAGTCAATGATATAAAACTATATAAAATTGATAAATTAATCCACCTGAAAATTGCCCTTCCAATTGTAGACCATGTCGAGCAATCGCTGTTTGCACTTTGCCTCAAACTCCTTCACCCACTGGTGAATCCCTATGGACCAACGATACTTGTGGGAGTCGATTTCACCCTACTGTCAAATAAATCGTAAATAAGGAAACTTCGGGAAAACCCTAAGTTTCCAGAGGAACCGGCTATCTGCGAGAACCGCACAACGAAAATAAGAAAACGATAACTTAGAATAAAAACGAAAATAAGAGAGATTTGAAAGCAAGAAGGTTCTTATTCCGAATCTGCGTTGAACTGGTT